TTTACCCACAGAAAAGATATTCTAAGAGGAAAACTTTCCTGCATGCACAATCCCAAAATCACACAAGCCTGTGGATAGTCCAGAGCAGTGGTCAGTCAGCTAGTACCCAAAAGCTGACAATGTGAACTAAAGAAAAGAGTGCTTGAATGGAAGTCGGGAGAACTAAGTTTTACCAATATAACCAGCTCTGGGATTTACTATTCTGTTTCGGGCAAGTTAGTTAACTTCTCTGGGCCTCTGTCTTATATTTGTTTTGTTTTATTTTGTTTCATGTGGAAAACAAGAGGTAATCAAAAAACGTTTTGTAACTATGGCCAGGAGGCCATCAGACAACATGTAGACCTATCCCCGACTTCACAGATGAGGACAATAAAGCAGAGGAACATGCCCAGGCATTTAAAAGGACAGTTCACTTATGTCAAAATTCTAGACCATGTAAAAAAAGGTACTTATAAGGCAAAAGGATTAAAATCATCAAATTTAAGATGATTATCATCTTTTCAGGAAGAGCTTCAGTTGTACTGGTAACATTTCATTTCTCAAATTGAGTTTGGAGTACATGGAGTTATATGTATGATTTTTTTATTTTTTGTTTGAAATAGTTTCTAATCATTTTTTTAAGTAACCACCAAAACATCTTTAACCAAAACATTTCTCTGAAAATTTAAAGGTCAATGGAAATAGTATGTGGTTTCAAACATTCTCCTGCTGAGTTTGAAAGGTAAATATCACTGTGTCCCCCTAATATAAGAAAAAAAAAGTGAAATAGGCTATAAATAAATACACACACACACACACACACACAATCTTCCAGCTTAGTAAAATATAAACAATACATAAGTGGCACAAAACACAAAATAAACTGTATTATTAGTATCATTATTGCCCCTTTAAGGATATTGAGAGAGGCCCTGGCCAGGTCGTTCAGTTGGTTAGAGTGTCGTCCTGATACCCCAAGGTTGTGGGTTCGATCCCGGATCAGGGCACATACAAGGATCAACCAACGAGTGCATAAATAAGTGGGACAATGAGTTGATGTTTCTCTTTTCTCTCTCTCCCGCTCAAATCAATAATTTCAAAATGTTAAAAATATATATATTGAGAGAAACAATAATAATTTGTACTCCAAACATGCCTAAGATAAATATATTCAAGAGTCACATCTGAGAACCTCGTACTCAATCATCAGGTTGTTTGTTTGTTTGTTTTTACTGAGACAAAAAATAAACTGCAATGATTTACCTAAAGTAAGCAAACACTTTTCCAAACCTCTACACGAAACTACCTGTAAAACTAAGTGTCTCTAAAATCTCTGAAATTTTCCAACAAGAAAGTATAGGTCATTCAGCAAAATATATTTACTGTATACTACCATAATAGCTATTTAATTGTTATCATTATGATGCAGATATATAATGGAAACAGATGTTCCTTTTTCCTTTCAGCAAAGCACAGGAAAAGCTCAAACTTGCTGATACTGCATGGACTACTACCATAGCACAATAAAGGAAAAAAGACATTAGCACATGACAATATTAGTTTTTACTACACAACTAATTGCATAAAAAGTACAACTTGAGATCATTAAATCAATATAATTTTCAGCACTACAGAAGGGAAACAAATAGATTTGTATAACCAGCCTATTTCACATCTGCAGTTGGGAAAATACTTCTGAGAAATTAAGTATATGCAAAATACTACCACTACTTTCAGAACACAAGGAAAAGATTGTTGTTCTGTTTTATTTGCTCATGTAACATGAATTGGAATGCTGCCTCTACAGAGGAATTTTTTTAAACAGTGCCGGTACAGAGTGAAAGAACCTTTCTAGAAAACAATTTGGCAATCAATATTAAAAACCTTAAAATACAGTCTATACCCTCAGTCCAAGTAATTTCTATTCTAATAATATATCATAAGAAAATAACCACAGGGATGATTAAAGATTCATTTAAAATGTTATTCATCATAACTTTATTTATAATGGAAAATTAAAATCTAACTCTCCAGTGGTAGAATGACAATTAATTAAATTATATATGTTAAAACATTATACAGTTAATATAAATGACTTTAATAATAATTTTAATTATATACAAAAATTTTTATTCTACTACACAAACTGAAAAAAAGCAGAATATGAAGTGATGTCTACATATTTTTATAAATATATATAAAAACATATAAGTGTTTGGAGGAAAAAGGCTTAGAGAAAATACACAAAATGTCATTTTTAACTTGTGAAAATTCTCTATTATGAGCAGATACTATTTTTTAATTAGAAAAGTGATTTTTTCTTTAAATAATTAAACAATTCTATTTCTATGCTCTAATACTCTCTGTCCTTGTCCAAAGTTACTGAAGATTCTTTGGGTCAAATAATTCTATAAATATTTTAGGTAAATTGATTTAAGTTACATTGATATGTTATTTGATCCTAAAATCTGGCATAGAAAGAAAAGTATTTGTCAAGTACATAGACAACACATTTTTTTATCCTGAGTTAAACAGGATCCTTACAAAATTGAGAAAAATTTTATAGGATAAACATTATAAATGTTTACTTAAGAGCTATTAATATAATGTGTTTTCAGTCACCATGTCAAGGAAATTTTTCAATTAAAAATATTTCTAAAGCAAATAGAGTACCCTATTAATTGCTCTCCCAGTTTGCCAATAAAAAGTTTGACACAGCTTTTGTAGGACTCCTAGTTTCATGATTGTATTTTTAAGAGAAGAAGCTGATTTGTCTTAGGCTATTACTGTCTACTACTTCTAGAAGTCTTAAGGAAAGGTGGGAAGCAGCAAATTCTGGCAATCTGCCTAAAGAGAAATCAATGAAACAAATTAATCCTTCGCAGGCTGCAATGACACAGTAATCCATCATTCAGAGCTGCTTTTATATACCAAATCAGAGAGCAGAGGACGGAGCCCTGGGGGACATCACAGACAACAACTTACACCAACACTGGGAAAATACTGAGGAATCAGTTTATTTAAAGAGGATAGATTTCAGTTGATTGCCTATTTTGTCAAAGATTTTTTTCTTTCACAGTGTGGGGAACCCAAGGCCCAATGACTCTATCTTCAGAATTCAGTACCATATATGCTTGCTGACATCAATAGGGATGAATGTTTATAAATAATTAGCATCATTAATCAGTATGAACAAATATCTGGCTAAAGTAATATTACTTTTTCCATTAAACTTCCAGGTGTTAAATACATTCCCAATTTTCAGTAGGGACTAACTGTAAATTTACATAATAATCGACAATTTAACTGACCAATTCCTGGTAAACCACATTTGAGATATTTTTTTACACATAAAATGTAACCATCTAAGATGTGCATAACTTCCTAAGTACTGTGTTAAGTTTAAAGACTTGAAAATTTTAATTTCATCTCTTGTGGAATAAATTTTAATAAGCAAATCAGATTCTAAATCAATAACTTGTTTTAAAACCATAAATAGTACTTTGGCTTGTAATTATAGTTGACAGTGCTGAAAGATAAATTTAAATGTGGTTTCTTTTTTTAAAATAAACTTATAATCAATGTATAGCCATACATTCACACTGAGTATATTTATTTATGCATATACAAAAACATATGCATCTAAATTTATTGGTGCTTATGTAGAAATTTATGCACCTGAGTATGTTTTACTAGAGTAATGCATTCTGAATGGAAGTATATTCCCTAGATGAAAACTAATGAGAAAAACTATAAAGTCAAAGTATATTACTACTGTTAAATACATCATTTTCATGGTTAAATGTGAGGAATTAGTGAAAGAAAGGGATTTTCAAGAAATAAACAAGCAAAACTTGTCACAATGGTTCCAAATATCTAATCATAAACCCAAAACAGAAAAAGAAGGTTAAATAAATGCTAACTAGTCAATTTTTGAATGGCATCTTCGATTCTGAGGCCCATGGCCATATGATTGTAATTCCTGGCTATGCTGATGCATTTTTAATTCAATGCATGGATCTAGTATTTATTGATTTAATAAGGTTAGGGGTATTACATTGTTGCTGCTACTGATGAACTGTCAGCAATTTAATCTAGTGAAATCTTACAGAGGAATATATATATTTTAGAGTTGTGAGAGACACTAAACAGCTATGTAAATGTAATCCCTTCATTACCCAGGACAGTGGCAAAAGCAATGTCCCTTCTTTCCCAGACTGTTTTGGGCTCCAAACATTTTCTAAGAGATTGGCTACCAATAGACCGAGGTGACACTGAAAGGATTGCAGCAACGTCTTGCAGGTACTCCTTCAAAACGTTAGCCACAGCATCATTGATGCAGACAGAAAAGAAGGGAGAAAATTCACTTTCTCAAAAGCCATTCTGCCAAAAATACAACCAAAGGAGATAGGCTTTAAAGGCTCTATCCAAGTAAGGAGGTATTATGTGATCCAGAATTTAAAGGGGGGGGGGTGCGGGAATCCACCTGAATTTGCTGAAACAAACACTTGGGGACTATTAGAAAGCTTTCTGCGCTGCTGTGCTACCCTGCTTGTGGGCTTATTTCCCCAACCTGGACACCTGGGAAGCATGTTGTGCTCCAGCTTTTCCCTGACTTTGAAGAAATGGATAACCTAAGAAGCGCGCTGTTGCTGGGGTCAGTAAAACTATGCTAATTGCTGAACCTAATTGCTTCAAGCAGTCCTGCCTCTAAACAGGGAGAGCACAGTGGATGGAGTCAGTCTGTTCCTAATAAAATGAAGAAGCACTGAATTAAATTCCCAAGGAAGGCACTATAAAAGTTTCCACAGTGTAACCAAATGACTTCACCTCTGCTATTACCCCTAGGATGACATCTTTGAAAGAAAGCAGACCCCAGTCAGGCTCCATATTCATAAATTGGCTGAGCTTAGGCCAGTGAATCTGGATTGATTTAAAAAGGTTTTTTCATCCTTCCAATCAAATGAAGTCATTGTTAATTAGATGCTTTCTGTTAACAATGTCACTCTTCTCCACATTACCTGCTCACACTTGCAGCGCCTCTAGTGCAACATCTGGAGCACCAGTCCCCCTGCCATCGGTCCTCACGAGTTTGGCGGAGGCTGGTGGTATTTCCGCTGCTCAATCCCTGTCTGAAGGAAGACACGGCTCAGTGTGCTGCTGGTGAGACACATACCAACTTTCCAGTGTGAGAGGCTATAAAACAATCTCTAGGAGAACTCTTCTCCCAAACTCTCTTTAAAGGAACTACACAGCACTGTCCCTGTGCTGTTCCCGCTTTGTAGATGGATGTTTTAGAAAACGCCTAAGGCCACAGTCAACTCCCACTGACCAAGCTCCTGCTCACACTAGACAACCGGGTTAAGGCTGCCCAGCCGCGCCCGGGGCCTGGCCACCGACCCCTGTCGGCCTGAGGCAGACTGGCCGCTGGAGGCTGGGCCACTGGGAGCAGCCCCGAGGGCGAGAGGCACAGAGCGCTCTGGCAGGAGAGAGGAGGGCGAGCCAAGGGCTCTCCATCCACCGGGTCCCTGAACCTCACCACGTCGGGCAGAGGCTGCCTCACACTCTCTCGGGGCCCATTCCAAAGAAGTTTGCGTGCGCCACCCCCACCCCCACCCCGTCGGGCCTGGCCTCCTCCTGGGATCTTCCCGGGAGCAGGCCTGGGACTTGGTCACTGCGGGATGGGGTCTTCAGCGCCAGCCAGGGCACGGCTTCTGCCGTCCGACCAGGTCCTGCTCGGCGCCCACTCGCGCCCAGTGCCCCGCAGGCGACCCCGCGAGCGAGGCTCCGCGCACAATGCTCTCCTGGCTTCGGGGAGCTGCTCCTGCTGGCGTCCGGCGCAGGGTCCAGTTCCCGACCTCGAGGGCAGGAGTGGAGGCTCCCGGGCCCTCCCCAGGCGGCCTGGTTCTCAGAGCGCTGATCTTTCCCAAGGGAGCGCCCTGTGGGTGAGGACATGAGGAGCCACGCAGAGCAGGGCCCTGGCTGCTGGAGGGACGGTGCCCCCCGCGGCCCTTGCGGCCCGGACCACGCCGATCCCAGCGCTTGGGGGGACCGGTGGCTGCCACGGGCCCCTGAGGACCCCGCGGCCGGGAGGGAGACCGCAGGCCTCCAGGGAAGCCTCGGGACCCGCCGCCAGGTCACCGGCTGCTTCTCGGCTGGAGCTCCTGAGCGGGACCCTGTCCCTGACTCCGAGGTGCCTGGGGACAAGACCACGGCCTCGCATGCCTCCATGGGTGGGGCTGCGGGGGGCTGGGGGCTCGGGGGCTCCCTGGCTTGGCGACAGTGAGTCCCGACCCCCTAAACCTCGCAGAGGGCAGAATCGTGCTGGAGGAGGTTAGGCTGCGAGGAGGAAAGGCGCGTTGGGACTAATTGCATGTCTTCCCGTCCTTGACCCCAACGCGCGCCTTCTCCACAAGAGGGTTTGGGGAAAGTAAGTTTCTGGGGAATCTGATCTCTGTTAGGTGGGGCCCTGGAGGAGGGCAAAGAACAGCGGCAGCCGAAACACCTGCGAGTTCTCAATACAATCTAATATGGACGTGAGTGGAGTCATTTCTCCTTCCGTTTCCAGGGGGAGCTCAGACCTGACGCGTCAAGATTATCCCTCTCCAACGTGTCAAACAGGGTACCTGCCAGGGACACCTGCGCCTGTCCCCCGGGGGGCTTCCCCTTTGCGAATAGAAAAGGCGGCCTGGTATTCTGTTCCACTTAGTGCTTGTGTGACCCTAAGCTGGAGGCCTGAGCCGTGTGGGACGCTGCTTGGACCCTCTGGAGACTAAACTAGAACGGAGCACAGGGAAGGCAGGCACACAAGCGGGCGGTGCCGAGAGGTGGCGGACGGAGGGCAACCTGGGTGGGGGGCGCGCAGGCTGCTCTGACCCGCGACGCCCGCTCCCGCGCGGGGAGTCTCAGGACGCTGCGGGCTGGCGGGCCAAGCAGGGCCACGTGCTCAGGGGCCGCTGGGCTCCGCTCCGGCTCCGTGTGTCAGGGACACACACACACACACACACACACACACACACACACACACACCAGCGCCTGCCTCTCTCTGCTAGCGCTGGGGTTCCTCTGAGGTGGTCCATTCAGCGGAGCCCCCTGCGCTCACACTGGCTGAGGGGGCAGCTCCAGCCGGGGTGAGAGAGCAGCTGGGGGCGCCCGTCCTGTGGGGACGCTGCCCCGCGCAAGGTTAGGGCTGATAAGTGACGGAGCCTGGGAAGGGCGGCGTTCTCACCGCTCGAGGGTCCTCCCCGCCTTCCAGTCCTGTCACCTGTCACCCCGGGTCCTCGTCCCGCCCCGCTCTCCGTGACCACGCGACCACCGGTGCCCGGGCCCCGGGAGCCAGGGCTCCCCCCTCCCGGATACAAACTGCACGGGCGCCGCTTTCCCTGCCTCCGGGTCCTCCTCTCATCCTCCCACCCGGCGATGCCTTGCCAGTGTTTGGGGTGGTTGGTGCTCTTGTAAAAGTCTATCAAAGGATCGCTGGCGTCTCCCCGTCAAGTCATTACGCCTTTATCCCCATCAATTACCCACACCTCAGAGGGCTGCTATTAAGAGCTCAATTGAGCTGCAAAAGTAGAGATCCCGTTTCAGGCAGATGTTGTCACCTCCCGCAGAGATAAGCAGCCCGTGGGACCCGGCCGGCAGCTTCCCCAACCGCCCGAGCGGCTCTGGACCAGGCTCAGCGCTCGGGCCGCGGGGCTGGCGCTGGAGCTGGAGCGGACGCCGAGCGCCCGTGCTCCCGGGACAGGGGGGAGCGGGGAGGGCCCCGCTCTCAGACCTCCAGCGCAGCGCCTGTCCAGGGGAAGTGTCTCCAAAGTTGTGCCGGGGAGACCGCCGTGGGCGAGCCGGGCGCTTTCGCCCAGAAAGGGGCGGGGGTGGGGGAGGGAGAGGGCACAGTTGAGAGTTAATCTGGCTGCCGCCGCCGACACACCCTCCTTCCTCTTCCCGCCGCTCTAGCCGCCTTCTTCCCCGGTACCGGCCCCAGAACCCCCTGGGAAGGAAGGCCAGGCGCCGTGGGTCTGCTGGACTTAGAGCTAGGCAATCCGGGACAGGAGCGTGGCTTTTACACAAAGGGGATTCCCTGGGACCGCCGCGGCCTTTCGCCCAGATGTGTCCTTCCCCTCTCTCTCACCCCAGTCACTCCTGGGGACGTGGCACGGGGCCCGCACGCGGCTGGGAACCCTGGGGGGCTGAGGGGAGCGGAGCAGGAGGACGTGACCTCGCGGCAGTCACTGTGCAAGTGGGCGCATGTGTGTGGACAGCCAGCTGAGTTTGTAGAGGACTGCGTCTCTATGCACATGTGCTGAGAGCGTCTGCCGCTTTCCTCCCGACAGTGGCCACAAATTTAGCCAAGGCTAAAGGAGATTAATTTCCTAGCACAATCCAATTAAAAGATTTCTGAAGTCATCTTTGGCAAAAATGGGGGGGGGGGTGCATGGCTAAAGAGGAGACTGGTTTTGATGACAGTGATTTATCGCCCGGGCACAGCGTGCGCTGGTCGCTCTCTCCTGCACCCGCGAGGTGACCAGAGCATCCCCGTCAGTGCCTCCAGTCCAAGCCGTCTCCTTTCTGAAAGACAGCCATCCATCACGCCAACCTGGGCAGAAGAGAATATGCGAGGGCCTGGGGTTGCTTACAAGCACCATAGACTTTTTTAAGTGCTATTAGATTTATGGTCTCTTTTTCGAGGCCCATCCAGAGTAATTAGCACATATGTTCTAAATAGATGATAGTTTTGTGAGCAATAAAGCAATTACCCATCGTTGGAGCTGACAGTTCCTCCAACTAAACTCCAACCAGCAGCTAATTGGAAAAGTCATTTCAGCTCCATTGTCTGCAATTAGTCCTGCTAAACTACTACACCCCAACTAGCTGGTTTGAGGTTAATTTATTCAGTGTTGTATTTGCACAGAGAAGCCATTGCCACAAAGGGACTTGCCTTTTGCCCCTCCGGACTGCGCCCTGGGACTAGAGGAGCCGGTGGCAGCCAGAGGCCAATATTCAGGGGCTGGGCCGGTTCCCAGGGGAGGAAGTGCCTGACCTGGCCTCAGCTTCAAGGTCAGTGTCCAGTGCGCTGAACCAGCTGACAGAGAAAGCCATTGTTTCTCCTGCTGGGCAGTAACTAGAGGAAACTCTTCAGTTCCCGCAACCAAAACCTTAGTTTATAAAAAGGAAAGTCAGCATAGAAGTGCTGACTGGGTTCTGAGTGCACCTCCTAGGCACCCAGTTCTGACCCTAGGCCACGTGTATCTCCATCCCTAACGGATAAACACAGATTCAAAAACCAACCCAAACTGCCCAATTCCAAGCCCTCAGCTGGGAGAGGGAGCCTCCAATTCTTGGAGTAGAAAGAAAAGACCAGACAGGTCAGGAAGCCCTGCTTTGCCTTCGTCCTCTATCTGAGTACAAGGTCACTTCTCCCCTTGAAACTGGAGCTGCTCTGTGACTTTTTTTCTTTTTCATTTTTCCCTTTCCCCTCCTTCCCTCATCTTTTTTTTGTTTTCTTTCTTGTCTAAAGTTAAGCCCAATAGGTCCACGATTTGCGCCAGTGAGTGGAAAAAATGTGTTAAATGTTGGTTTGATGCCCCACCGGAGCTTCCAAATATCCAGTGGCTGGGATTCTTCTACTTAATTTAATCTTTATTGGACAGGGTGGCTCCTACACTCGTATTCCCCAGGAAACCTGGGAAATGATCTGTTGGTGTTCAGAAAGGAGGGAGGGAGGGAGAGAAGTTAAAGAGGGATTAATCCTCTCCCACCCAACCTCGAACGTTGTCACTGTGATTTCTGATAGGCTGGGGGTAGGAGCGGAGGGGGCTCAAGGTCCCAGCCCAGACAGCCAAGGGTCTCTGCGATCTGCAGCAGGGGGCGGAAGGCTGGCAGGTTGAGATGGGAACTTGTAGCCCTGGTAACCGAGTCTTCCCTTAAAAGAATTTACAGCTAAGTGTCCCAGGCTCTGGGAGCAATTCGAATTTTAGTTAGAAGAACACGGGGTTTGGGGGCGGGGAGAGACTTCTTAGGAGGTAACGCCAAGTGCTTTCAGTCCTAGAAATCTAATGTCCTTTTTCTGGAGAGCCATTCATACTTAACAACCTGAGGGCTGTTTCTCCTTTTTGAAGCAAACACAACACCA